CACATCCTCTCCAACAATTGTTGTTCATTGATTTGTTGATGATAGCCATTCTGACAGGTGTGAGATGATACCGCATTGTCATTTTGATTTGCATCTCTAGTATAATTAGTGACTTTGAGCATGTTTTCATATGTCTTTCGGCCTTCTGTATGTCCTCTTTCGAAAAGTGTCTATCTAGGTCCCTTGCCCATTTTTTGATTGGATTGTTTATCTTCCTATTGTTAAGTTTCATGAGTTCCCTGTAAATGTTAGAGATTAAACCCTTATCGGTGATATCATTGGCAAATATGTTCTCCCATGCAGTGGGTCTTCTTGTTTTTTTGTTGATGGTTTCCTTTGCTGTGCAAAAGCTTTTATTTTGATGTAGTCCCATTTGTTTATTTTCTCTTTAGTTTCCATTGCCCTAGGAGCATTATCAGAGAAGAAATTACTTTGGCATATGTTTGCGATTTCGCTGCCTGTGGATTCCTCTAGAATTTTTATGGTTTCCCATCTTACGTTTAAGTCTTTTATCCATTTTGAGTTTATTTTTGTGTATGGTGTGAGTTGGTGGTCTAGTTTCATCTTTTTGCATGTATCTGTCTAATTTTCCCAACACCATTTATTGAAGAAACTGTCTTGACTCCATTGTATGCTCTTGCCTCCTTTGTTGAATATTAATTGGACATAGTGGTTTGGATCAATTTCTGGGTTCTCTATTCTATTCCATTGATCTATATGTCTGTTCTTGTGCCAGTACCAAGCTGTTTTAAGAACAGTGGCTTTGTAATACAGTTTGATATCTGGTATTGAGATCCCACCAACTTTGTTCTTCTCTCTCAGGATTTCTGCAGCTATTCGAGGTCTTTTTTTATTCCAGATGAATTTTTGGAGAGTTTGTTCTAGGTCTTTGAAATATGCCATTAACATTTTAATGGGGATTGCATTGAATCTATAGATTGCTTTGGGTAGTATGGACATTTTGATGATGTTGATTCTACCAATCCATGAACACGGTATGTTCTTCCATCTGTTTATGTCTTCCTCTATCTCTTTTTTCAGTGTCCTGTAGTTTTTCACATATAAGTCTTTTACCTCCTTCATTAAGTTTATTCCTAGGTATCTTAATTTTTTTGGTGCGATGGTAAATGGGATTGCTTTTTTAGTCTCACTTTCTGTAAGTTCACTATTGGTGTAAAGAAATGCCATGGATTTCTTGGCATTAATTTTGTATCCTGCTACATTGCCGAATTTATTTATTAAGACTAATAATTTTTTGATGGAGTCTTTAGGGTTCTCTATGTATAGTATCATGTCATCTGCAAATAAGGACAGTTTTACTTCTTCTTTTCCAATTTGGATGCCTTTTATTTCTTCTTCTTGTCTTATCATAATGGCTAGTACTTCCAGTACTATGTTGAACAGGAGTGGTGAGATGGGGCATTCCTGTCTTGTTCCTGTTTTTAGGGTGAATGGTTTTAGTTTTTGCCCATTGATTATGATGTTGGCTGTGGGTTTGTCATATATGGCTTTTATTATGTTGAGGTATGATCCTTCTATTCCTACCTTGCTGAGAGTTTTTATCAAGAAAGGGTGTTGAATTTTGTCAAATGCTTTTTCTGCATCAATTGATATGATTATGTGGTTTTTTTCTCTCAATTTGTTTATGTGATGTATTACGTTTATTGATTTGCAGATATTGTACCATCCTTGCATCCCTGGAATAAATCCAACTTGGTTATGGTGTATGATCTTTCTGATGTACTGCTGGATCTGATTTGCTAGAATTTTGTTGAGGATTTTAGCATCTATGTTCATGAGGGATATTGGCCTGTAATTCTCTTTCATTATGTTGTCTTTATCTGGTTTTGGTATTAGGGTGATGCTGGCTTTATAGAATGAGCTTGGAAGTGTTCCTTCTTCTTGAATTTTTTGGAGTAGTCTGAGGAGGATAGGTTTTAGTTCTTCCTTGAATGTTTGGTAAAACTCCCCTGTGAAGCCGTCTGGCCCCAGGCTTTTGTTTGCTGGGAGCTTTTTGATTACTGCTTCAATTTCCTCCATAGTTATTGGCCTATTGAGACTTTTAGCTTCTTCCTGATTAAGTTTTGGAAGGTTGTATTTTTCTAGGAATATGTCCATTTTCTCCAGGTTGTCTAGTTTGTTGGAGTAGAGTTGTTCATAGTATTTTCTAACAATCCTTTGTATTTCTGTGGGGTCTGTTGTGATTTCTCCTCTTTCATTTCTGATTTTGTTTATTTGGGTCCTCTCTCTTTGCTTCTTAGTGAGCCTGGCTAGAGGTTCATCAATCTTGTTTATCCTTTCAAAGAACCAGCTCTTGGTTTTGTTGATCTTTTGTACTGTTTTTTTGGTCTCTATGTCATTTATCTCCACTCTGATCTTTATTATTTTCTTCCTTCTGCTTACACTGGGCTTTTCTTGTTGCTTTCTTTCTAACTCTTTGAGGTGTAGGATTAGGTAATTTATTCTCATTGTTTCTTGTTTCTTGCAGTAGGCTTGTAGAGCTATGAACTTCCCTCTCAAGACTGCTTTCGCTGTGTCCCATAGGTTTTGGATTGTTGTGTTTTCATTGTCGTTTGTTGTCATGATGTTTTTTATTTCTTCTTTGATCTCTCTGGTAACCCAGTCATTGTTTAATAGCGTGCTATTTAGTCTCCATGTGTTTGATTTTTTGGATTGTTTTATTGTAGTTGATTTCCAGTTTTATGCCACTGTGGTCTGAGAAGATGCTTGATATGATTTTAATCTTCTTGAATTTGAAGAGACTTTGCCTGTGACCCAATATATGGTCTATCTTTGAATATGACCCATGTGCACTTGAGAAGAATGTATATTCTGTAGCTTTGGAATGAAATGTTCTGAAGATGTTAATTAATTCCATCTGATCTAGTGTGTCATTTAGGATTGATGTCAGTTTGTGGATCAGCCCCTGGGTGGCAGTGTTTCTGGATTGACCTATGAGGCTATAAATCCTCACTATCCAGCAGTTGGGTTTATTTTCCCTATCGCACTTAAAACTGGTTTGGGAGAGTCGACTGTCCTAGAACCTGTTCTTTAGTCATTACTCCTGCTCTGTTTCCCAGGTTCCACAAAAACAACTTTTCCCTGCAGTCTCTGCGAGTGACCCCGACTGGGAAATCCCATGTACTGGGTTTAATAATCAAATGCAAAGATTTAATGGGAAGAGAAAGAAAAAGAGCCTGAGAAGTTGCACGAATTCACAACCCCCCACCTTTCAGCTCTGTGTGCAGTCCCTTCCGTGCACCCTCTCTTCCAAATGCTAAGCAGCCAGCACACTGGCAAAATCCAAGGCTGCTTTTTTTGCACCCAGTCCAGCTATGGGCTTATTTTTAGCATTCCCTTCTGCCAGCAACCCTGCGGGAGCCCTTCCACACTCGCGGATCACGCTGGCCCCAACAGCCTCAGACTTTGTGGGGCTCAGACTTCCCCTCTCCCCTCCCCCCCCCCACGCGTGTGCACACGAGTTCCTCTCTCCAACCTGAATTGCAAACCGCACCTTTAGGGGAAGTCCGACCTTTCCATGGGGGAGAAGCAGGGTTCCTCTAAGTTCACGTAGTCGCGCTGCTTGGGGTCCGTTGTTTCTGGGTTAGTATCCTATCTTTGGATGACGTGGATCCCGGGTCTTTGGCTTTATACGATCCCAAAAACAGCCACGCAAGATGGCGTGTTCTCCGCAGCTGAGCAGGCGCGCTGAGAGAGATTTCAGCCACAATCTCCAACCGTTCCCTTTCTCCCGGAGTCCTCTGTCTTTCCCGGCTGCAAACTGTCTCCCAGCTGAATATCTTCTGCTTATTAGGACTGTATGTTACCCATTTCAGCTGCTCACCCTTATCTGCTCCTGGACAAGGCACGGGACATGTCCGTCTATACCTCCGCCATTTCGAGAAATCTTTTTATTACTATTCATGCCAGTCATGCCTCATTAACAGCTCTAGTATTTACAATTGTAGTAACTTTCAGTCTTCACATCATTAATATATGTATTACAGGAGTGAGAAAAAGTAGGATTACACTTTTGAGTACACAAAACAGTTTAATTTTTATTTATTAATTATTGCATTATTTTCCATACAAATATCTGTAAACCTACTTTAGCCGTTCTTTCAATGAAAATGTACAACTTATTCTAACTGCCTTATTTCACTAAGCATAATACTCTCTAGGTCCTTCCAGGCATCTCAAAGAGTAAGAGCTCAGTCTTTCCTAAACTGCATAGTATTCCATTGTGTAAATGTACCACAGCTTTTTTATCCACTCATCTACTGATAGGCACTTCGGCTGTTACCAGATCTTAGCGGTTGTAAATCTTTCTGATTGATAATTTGGGATTCTTAGAATATATTCTTACAAATGGAATACCTGGGTCAAATGGCAGTTCAATTTTTTTTAAATTTTTGAGGGAATTCCATACTGTTTACCAGCAGACTTCTCACTCCATCCTCAGCCGACTAGACTGGTCAGTGACCTACTTTTATACCATTTAGACAAAGAAGGCTTCTTGGCAATAGTCACATCAGCCATATTGCCTACTGAAGGGCACAGTGTACCATGTGTCCTTGCACCCGCTTATGGTATTGTGGCCTGCTTAGGATTCCCAGGCTCAGAGTCCTTGAACATTCCATTTAGACTCATGCCCAGAGCAGCCTTTGACTATTTTGGTGTATTGATAACAAGGCCTCTCTGCTACCACTGGCCTTGACTATCTGGGAACCTGGCATGGTTCTGACACCCCAGTTGGAGTTTTTGAAGGAGGCAACCAATGGATGTGTTTCTCTCACATCGATGTTTCTCTCTGTTTTTCCCCTCTCTCT